TGGGCTCATTTGCTATCGCTATTCTTTATTTTCTGTAGCCGTTTTAATAATCTGCGAGGATCTTTTTTCTCTGGCTTTTGGAAATGCTGCTTTGGCCCTCAGGGCTTGGGAGAGGGAAGCAACACAGGGCACCTGCTCCTGTTGGCGGAGTGACATCAGAGCAGGAGGGCAGCTCGGCCCCGCTCGGCGTGGGAGAAGTCCTTCCTCTTTCCTCAGACAGGCCAGCGCCCCTTATGTCCCGAGGGCAACCATGTCTGGAAAGAAAAGCCGCAGAAGAGGAAGCTCCTGGCTCCCCGGCCGGGCAGCCCAGCCATTCCCACCTCTCGATGGGCTGCTGGGGGAGGTGGTGGAGGCAGAGTCCCCCACGTAATGTCCTGGTCTGATACTGTAATGGAAAGCTGCCCAGGACTCCCCACTCTCACAGCCAGCTAGGCTAAAATGCAGACCAGTAGCTCCCCGCCCCCAAAACCCTGGACCAGACAGCAGATTCTACAGACACCTCGAGCCTTGGGAATAAATATGCATTTATTAAAAGGATAAAATACAGGGGTTGGAGGGTGCTAAAACAGCTAAAAGAATACACAGGGGAAAGGAGGTGAGGGAAAAGGAAGGGGATTTGAAGAGCAGCAACAGTGCAGATTACAGCCACCCAAAAGACCCAGCTCCCAGGCCTTGTTGGCCCCCTTCGGACAGAAAATAAGGCTCAGCCTAGACTCAGGTGCATGCACAGATACTATACCCTCTGTGGGTACCTTCAGCATGGAGCATGGCAAGAACAGGGGAACCTCTCCTGGGAAGAGAAGCCTGAGCCTTCTCAGGCCCTCGGCGTTATGCCCCTTAACCCAGATCAGATGATTCGGGAGGTGTTCAATTCCTTGGTCGATCATACATGCAGAACATGTGCCCTTTTCTCTGCAATCTCCTGTCCTTGTGCATAAATCCTCTGACCTTGGGTATAATTTACAGTCTCTCTCCTTCCCGCATTCCAAGGGCCTAGCCCTTCCTCCCTGACTTTGGGGCCAGATCACCTGGCTACTTTAACATTTCCTCCCCTCTGTCAGTTAACCCTTCCTGCCCTGCTGAGCCAGCAACCAGATCACGTTACAGATACTCTTTGGCACCTCGGGTTATACCACACAGGGATAACCCACATTCAGTGTGAATTGCCGTTGAAGCGTGGGCTATTGGGTTGTCTGAAACTGCCTCTGGTAACAAACCCAAGTAAGAGTGGCTCAGAAATCTCAGTGCCCATCTAATAACATAGAGACCAGGAATGCGGTCGGTTCTCTGTCCCGCCTAGCACCGCCTCAGAGCTCAGGGAAGGGGTGTGCCCTGCTGCCCTGTCACGTTTTGGGCTGCACTCCACTTTTCTACTCGAAGAACAGCCTCGCCAAGGAAAAGGAAAAAGATGGCCTACAACTCCCAGCATCCCCCAGAAGCAAAGGAGCCGCGAGACTTGTTTTCTGTCTAAAAATGAGGGCGGGCTCCGTGTAAGGATATTCCTTAGTATAGGCTCTACGGCTCACCGATTGGCTGAAGGGAGGCGCCGCGTTTATTGATTGGACGTGTCCTGGGCTGGGAGGGACTTCAGCAGTCGTTCGAAAAAAGAATGTTTCTCACGGAGGTAGCCCTGAACGGAACGGGGGTCACGTGACTGAATCGCCGCTTCCGACTGCCCCGTGGAGAAAGAGCGTGTGAAAGAGCAGCCTGAAAAGCGTGGCGAGGGAAACGGCCACCGATGTGCCCCTTCTCCGCAGGGCCCCGGCCGGTGAGGAGGGGGCGCGCGCGCGCGCTGCTTCTGATCCTCTGCAGAAGCGGCTGGGCTGGAGGAGGGAATCAGTCCTGGAAATCAGTGGGGATTTCCCCATTTGGGATGCGGAGTATTTGTGTAGGGTGAGATGCAGCCACAATGTCTGCTCCATTCCCGGCCTTTTGAGAAGACCTTTGGGGCGATGAAAGTTGTGGGCGGGGCAGGCTCCTTCCCAAAGACAAGATTTCCTCTCCCCAGATCAGCCCCCGGCCTTTTCCTTCTCTTCCCGCAGCTCTCAGATCGCAGTGGGAGACGAGAAGTGAGGTGTCAGCTTTCCCGGTGATCTGCCGGAGACGCTGCTACTGTGGTTCTTCCGCGGTGCTCTCCAACCCATTCTCGCCCCTAAGTTCTGACGGCGCTGGCAAATGGCGGGGGGGGGGGGCGGCCGCGGAAAAGCACTGCACACCCGCCAGCATTTTGCTCCGAGTTACCCCCTTCCCAGTAATGTGGAAGGAGGGGAGATAACCCCAAGCTAATATGCTTAAAGGGAAGCTTTTCCTGCCTTCAGCTTCACAATTTCTTCTGAAGCTCCGGAAGACAAGATCTCTGTGAACGAGGCTCCCTGAGGTTCACAGCTGCTCTTTAGCCATAGAGGTTTCCGTGAGACAAGCCCCTCCGCCCATTTCTCGCCTGCCCCTTCTTCGGTTCTCTGCTTCTCCGTCCCTATTTCTGGTCCATCTCCCAGCATGCTTTGCCTTTGCCATGTTCAGCCCACTGCAGTCCCATCTGCAGCATTCTCCTGGAAAGTCTCTGGAGAGCCACAGCCAGTGCCCCTGAGGTGCTCTGGCCAAGCTGGGCAGGGGCTCTTCCATGGTGAAGACAGGTTCATTGGAGCAAAATCACTGAGACACTTTCTGGCAGCCTGAGATGTGCTGGGGAACATGGGCACATGGGCTGCAGCTTCCCTGGGTATGGAGGCAGGACTTGATGGAGACCCAAATTGCTTTTCTGAATGTGCCCCCCTCCCATTCCTGCCCCCCAGAGAGTGAAGGTCTCCAGGTCTCTGCGGAGTCTGCTGCCACACTCCAGAACACGTCAAGTGCCTGCAGTGGAGCCGGGCCTGGTAAGGAGCCCCTCTGGGACCTAAGTGGGGTGGGGAAGATGATGGAGGGCCCACAGGAGCAGAATGGGGGTGGGGTGCCAGCAGGAGACAGGACGCATCACTGCCGTTCTTCCAGCTTGTGGATCTGCAGTGGCCTCTTCTGGTTCAGAAGAAGAGGGTTGTCTCATCCGGTAAAGCCAAAAGGAGCCCCTGCCCCTCCTTGCTGCTTGTTTCTCCCCAGTATTCAAGGGTTCCATCCGGCCGTTTTGTCTCATTGCCAGTGTTGGATATTAGTTCTGGCTGAAGATAATGGCCGGCATCACGGTATTCTTCTATCACTGGCACTTCCCACGCGGGGAGGTGGAATAGTGTAATGAAACAGGGACAGCCAGTGAGCCCTCTTCTGGAATGCCCTTGCCTCAATCCACACTGGATCTGCATGTGCACAAATGAGGATAAGGAAGCAGTTTCAAGACCCTGTTAGTGTGGCCCATAACAAAGGCTGGGCTAGGATCTTTGTGCCTGACATTCAGGATTCTTTGGTGATACCTGGGCAGGGACGAGGAGGAGGTTGCCCCTTGTGCTTGCATTTTCCAGGGCGGAGCATTCTCCTGTCTGTCTGCCCCACCTGCAGCCTGAAGGGCCACTTTTCAGCAGAAATTTGTGGGCTAGTCTTTTGTTGCTGTTGTTTTGTTTCTTTTCTGGCACACCCAGGGTCTGCAGCTGCATGGTGACTTGCAGTGGGTGTCTCTCTCTTCCTGTAGTGCTGGGTGACCTTTGAAGACGTGTCCGTGTATTTCACAGAGGGCCAGGGGGCTCTGCTGGATCCGGATCAACGGGCCTTGTACCGGGATGTCATGCTGGAAAATTATGGGAACCTGGCCTCACTGGGTAAGGGACGTGAATCCTCATTCTCTCAGAGCTGTGAGTCTTCGTGTTCTCCTGTCTGCAGCTGCAGTTTTGAAGCGATGCCTTTGTGTGGTAGCAAGTTGATGTCTTCGGATGAGGGCAGGTTGCATGCTCAGTGACCGCACTTCTTTGTGCAATAGCAGGCTGTGGGACCCAAGGTCCGGGGGAGCTAGACCCGGCCAAGACCACTTCGATGTGCAACGATGCGAACTGTGAGGTACCAGTGAAGGAGCAGGAGAGGGAGGCCTCTGGCTCCACGCCTGCACCAGAGCTCCCTGCAGCTGTTTCCTCCAGGCCTTTTGCTCCCTTCTGGTTCTGCTGCTGGGAGTGGGCCGGGAAGGAAGGCAAATCCCAGGCCTTGAGAGGGGCAAGGCACAGGGAGCAGGGTAGAAGTGACATCCCTCTCCTATAGATGCTTTCTGCGGTCAAAGGCTGATCTCTCACTACAAACATTCCGCTGAATCCAATACGATTTGCTAAGTAAAACTGTGTGCGCCAAATGGAGCTTTAGTTTTTAGAAAGTCTTAATTGCCCCAATATCCACAACAGTCTTATTGTTGTGTGCATCTATTGCAGCATCCCAAAATGCCTTCCTAACCTTGCTTCTCATGACGGTAACTGAGGTTACAGAAGCTACGTCTGGAGGTCCTTCTCTGTGGGTTTCTTAGAGCTGCAGCCTAAAGTGATTACTTTTCCTGTTTGCTTCTTTCCTGAGAAGGTTTTCCAGTCACCAAGCCTGAACTCATCTCCCAGCTGGAACGAGGGCAAGAGCCATGGGTGGCAGATGCTCAGGACCTGGACAAGAAGGAGAACGCCAACTCCCATCCAGGTAGGTGTCCTGACTGAACAGCTCTCAGCATGCATAGCCAGCTCAGCCGTAAGCTATCATGTTTCGTTCCTCTTCTGTTTTATTCCTGGTGTTCTTGGGAATGCTTTTGAGAACTAGGGTTTTCCCTTTGCGTCACTGTCAATAAAAGTAAGGGTCCAGATGGTCCCCATCAGACTAAAGGAAGACTGTGTGCAAGACTACAACACAAAGAAGTTGAAGTGTTGTGCCCAGAAAACAGCATGTTGGGAAGAAAAGTGGAGGCGAATATGCTCCTGGTACCTGCCATTCTAGGCCATTCCCCACACCTCACAAATACCTTGTTTCTTCCTGTTTTGTTGGGTCTGGTTCTTTGTTCCCCCCGCTCTCACCCGTTTGGGTCTCTCCTAGCCTTCAGGGGAAGGGCATTCATTTGTTTTGCTTTGTCCAGGCCTCTCCTTACGTGTCTCTTGCCATTTCCTATGGCATCCAGTCTCCTAATTTTAATTTTGGCCTCTTCACTGACTTCACGTGTGTGCGTGAATGCCACACTGCCACAACCAGCAATAGCTGCTATCATACGGTCGTCCACATACTGCCTCTTGTGTAAAGGCAAGAGCAGAGGGAAATGGTATCCCTGGACCATTTTGTATTGTTTCACATTTGCCAAGGCTGACCATCCTGATTTCCTGCTTCTGTCTCTCTTTCCGCCAAGTAAAGCTGGTCTCTCTCTGTCCTCTATCTCACTAGGTCTATGTGGGAAGAATCTTATGAGCACCATGTGTGGGCAAAATTCTGTGGAGAAATCAGTTGGTGTCCAGCATCGTACCATCCACAGAGGGGAGAGATCATATGAGTGTTTGGAACACGGAGAGATTTTGGATCAGCAATCATATCTCTTGGATCAGCCGAGAATTCGCACAGGCAAGAAATCATTCAAATGCTTGGAGTGTGGGAAGTGTTTTACTCAAAAATCAAGTGTTTTGATCCACCAGAGAGTCCATACAGGAGAGAAGCCATACAAGTGTTTGGAGTGCGGGAAGAGCTTTGCTCAACAAACCAATTTCTTGTACCACCAAAGAGTCCACACAGGAGAGAGACCATATAAGTGCTTGGAGTGTGGGAAGTGTTGTTCTTCCAAATCAAGTCTCATGTCCCACCAGAGAGTTCACACGGGAGAGAAACCATATAAATGCTTGGAATGTGGAAAGTTTTTTTCGTGGAAATCAGATGTCATTGTCCACCAGAGAATCCACACAGGGGAGAAACCATTCCAGTGTTTGGAGTGTGGCAAGTGTTTCACCCAATCTGCATCCTGTGAAAAACATCAGAGAGTTCACACAGGGGAGAAACCATTTCAATGTTTGGAATGTGGCAAGTATTTTACTCAGGATTCACATCTCAAAAGGCACCACGCTGCCCATACTGGAGAGAAACCATATAAATGCTTGGAGTGTGGAAAGTGTTTTGCTCTCAAATCATATCTTATGACCCACGAAAGAGTTCATACAGGGGAGAAACCCTATAAATGCTTTGAATGTGGAAAGCGTTTTTCTCTCAAATCAAATCTCCTGATTCATCAGAGAGTCCACACGGGAGAGAAACCATATAAATGTCTAAAGTGTGGGAAATCTTATGCTTGTCCTTCATCCTTTGCAAAGCACCACAGAGCCCACACAGAGCAGAATCCTCATCAATGTTTGTAAGGTCAGTTTTTTTTTATTTTTTGTGCATCAGTCTCACCTGATGTTCAGCAGAGTACCTGCATAGAAAAGAAATCGTATAAATAAGGGGTCTCAAACTCGCGGCCCGTGGGCCAATTGCCGGGATGGGCGGGGCACGGGGGAGGGGCTCTGCGGCCTTCAAAGCACCGGCAGTGCCCGGGCCAGCCGTGGGATGAGCGGCCCACCCCCAGCGCGGTGGTGGAATACTTGATGCGGCCCAGCCGCACCCAGACTCTACTTCCAGCGGCCCCCGGGTAAGTTGAGTTTGAGACCCCTGGTATAAATGCTTTGAATCCTGAGTGTCTTGCTCTGAAGTGAAAATGAGCCATCCAAAACCAACACAGGGAAGAGACCTTTTAAATGCTTGGTGTAGAGGAAATATTTTCCTGAGAAATTGTGGCATCCAAGAACTCAGCCAGGAGAGGAGGCTCTGGAGTGCTTGGTGTGTGGGAAATGTTCTTCTGGGAAATGGCGTCTCATGATCCCCCAGTGAGAAGTCCTATAAGTTCTTGAGTGTGGAAGTGTTTTCCTTCAAAACGATATGTCATGACCTACCAGAGAGTAAGCTCTGGGGAAAAGCAATATAAATGCTTGGAGTGTAGGAAGTGTTTTGCTTGGTCTTCAGCCTTCACAAAACATCAGAGAGAGCACATGATAGAAACCTTACAGGCGCTCAGACATGTGTTCTAAAAACAGGTAGCTTGTATTTATAAGCTTACCACATTAGATTCCTGTTTAGAGTGTGGCAAGTATTTTAGAGTGTGGCAAATAAGTACCTACCTAACTGATTTCAGGGACCTGGCACTATCAACCTAATATGGGTACCAATAGATTGTCTGGCATGTCTGTCTTCCATCAGAAGATAAAGAGATAAAGGTTTAAAGATGACAAGCTTAATTCTTATACTCAGAGAACAAATTATATCACTTCAGGCTTTGGTATTCCATATTTTATTCCAGTTGTCCTTTTGAGAAATTGGTTGGGTTTCCCAGTTAGACAGGTAGGTACAGTGGTACCAGTATGACCAGTATGATTTGCCACACAACTATTCCATCAAGGATCTGCTCAGCTTCAGAGGAATCCCTTCCCATCAACTTAGAATATACTTTCTCCAAAAGACCTTGCCCTGTTCTGCTGCTGCTCTCCAGAGTTAAATTTTCTTACTCATGAAAAGATGTTTAAACAGAGGCCTTTTTCAGCAACTGCTTGCAACAACTGAAAAATCATTGTTATGAAGTTTTTATGTAATAGTATTTGTTACCGAGATCATAAAATGTTATTTGATGATCAGATCAAGTAGTTTTGCCCCAGTATATGTGATCCAAGAGATGTATCCACTCCTGCGCATCCTATGGAAACCACTGAGTAGAGGAGACCAAGGATAAGCACATGGGAAAGAAAAACTCACTGATTGCCCAAAATACAGTGTAGAACTATTCTCATTAATTAAACATCTAATTATTTAAATTTTAAATTGAACTGTGAATTAGTTGCTCAATATTCAATATTTTATTGAAGAATTAAGCAGTAAAGTAAATGACTGGACAACATGAGAAGAAGGGTGTGGTGTGTACCTCAGTCGAATTGTACCATTCGTTTGTAGGTCCCCTGTTTTAGCTTTTCTGTTCTGTTCATTATTCAGAATTCTTAGGCTATTGGGTCGCATAGAAATACAATTAAGAATAACAGTAATTAGTTGCCTGAGTACCTTTATCTAATGGTACAGTCATAAATATGAAGACAGAACTGTCCCACTGAGTGCCAAATCTGATGGAATTCAATACGTATGACTTGCTTCCAGGTAGGTTTTTGCAGAATTGACTGCAATTCTGTGTGCCTGTCCTCCCAGGTTTGTCTCACTGAATGTCTTCATGGGAGAGACTATGTGTTTGGCTGGTTTGCGAGAAAGCCCAAGCCCTGCTTGGTAGGGTGCGCTGGATAGTCTGGAGCTGTTCTTGCAATTAAAGCATGGGTTAATGTAATGGGAATCCCCCAGAGGTGCATGTGAGTCCCTGCAGATACTGTCGGCTTGGGACAACAGCAAGACACAGAGTGGAACAAGGAACTCATGAACGTGGCAAAGAACTTCAGGGAGCCGGAGCTCCTTGGGCCAGGGGCCTGCAACTCTGGGGGGAAGCAGAGTGGCGACTGGTGCCACCTGGATGGTTAAGCCTGAACCCCTTACAGATGAACTTGGTTCACGAGCCCCCCTCCCCACCCCACT